TTGACCGTCGATTCCGACGATGTCCACCGTGTGCTGCACACCAGGTTGCAACAGGCACGGTGACTTGCGCGTGAATCAGTCCAAAGTGATGGTAGACTTGCGTAGCATCTACTGCACTCTCTTCTTCCCACCCTCAACCTGGGCCCGGTGTAAAGACAGAATCAAGAAGACCGAAGGCCTAGCGATACACAAAATTACATCCAGGTCGTGTATGGTGCGCGTAGACGGGTCTTCAAGCCCTGTCAAGCCCTCACCCAATCCCATCCTCAGTTGATTGACAAACTTGGACAATCGACTGATGCGTGGGGGAAGGAAAAGAGAGTGAGGATGACACCGGAAAATCTACCCTCGATGCACAGCGTGTGACCTTCATAAAACAACTCTATTGCTCTTCAATTTACCACGACGCGATATGAGTTGTGCCTTGATAGGATACCAACCTACGGACTAGGTCGGTTCTTCTCAGAATTGAGAGCTAGGCTGACGTGGCGTCTTCTTAAATTTGGCCTTTATGACAACCTAATCCACTGCCTCCACACACATTTCCGGTTGTCCTTGAAGCCTTCTCGCCGCTGGAGCAATATTGGTGAGGTAATTGGTGTTCAGCGCCCTTCTGCCTCAGAACGCACTACGTGAAGCACGAGATGGCTGTCGTAATTTTGTCGGAGATCTTTATCAGTAACCGTCTCTGATGATAGGTTCCAGTGAAAATGCGAAACGTCAGGACAATAAACTTATTGTTCCAGTGATCGCACCTTCTTCTGTTTAGTCAGGTTGTCTTCCGATACCCACCATGCTTTAGTGCGCAGGACGAAGTTGTGTCGATCTGCTGTGGACGTGAGCCTAGTGGTGAAAACCTCATCTGCGCCTGCTGGTTCATACATGTCGCAAACGAGACTCCAATGTATCTGATCCCACAGAGTTGTGCGTTTTAACAAAAGCCGTATTGTCTAAGTTCAGCGAATATTCCCATGTTACAATTGAAAAGTCAAATGAACACGTGTTTTCAGTATCTCTTCATCAGGCCAAAACGGTTACAATGAAGTTTAAGTTATGCGAAGTACATGACTTATAAATGATTCGGGGACAATTAACATCCATCGTTCCCACGCCACTCGCATGACGAGGTGTGCTATGACGTGGTCGGCGTGTCGTGGTCATTGGGTTTAGGGGGCGAGGAAGAGGGGGGGGGCATAGGCTGTGAGTACGTCGGGTACCTTGTGCACACACCCTGGCATCAGGAGGTTGGGGCGACGTTGGGGTCGGCGTCGGCCACGGATGACAGAGCGCCTGTGTCAGAGTCTTCTGACAGCATAGCACTGGATTGGCTGCCGTATAGCCACTGCCTCAGCTGTAGCTAGCACCCGTTGGCGTAGGACTTTGGAGAAGCCTGCTGGTGTCCGGTAGACAATCTGAAAGGCTTCTTTGGCATCGACTCGGTGATTCGTATCGACAAGATGTGCGAGAATAGAACTCGAGATCGATTTCTTCTCACCTTTGCCTAGCCAGGCCGGTATGTGTTCACGTACTCTCTTTTCCAAGCGCCTTGTTATACGGCCAATGTGTCCCGCTCCACAGGAGCAAGTGAATGAATAAATACACATCGATGTGGCCTGCAACGGGAGTCGGTCTTTACCTCCCAAGCGTAGGAGGGGAGAGTTAGTGAAACACACACGTAAGTTCGCCGCGGGGAAGGCGTTAGTGATCGCTGTCTTCAGACGTCTTTTTACTAGTTCACTTGCTGCGTTCCCTTGAAAAGGCAATCTTATAAATAAGTCCTTCTTTTCTGCAGTTGCCATGGTAGGCTTTGCAGTGCGCTCCCCTATATTTCGAAGGATAAATCTCTCTGGGTATCTATTTTCGTGGAGTGTATCCCGCAGCTGCTGGAGTTCGGCCTCCACAGTCTCAGGAGAGCAGATATGTCGCACTCTAGCTGCCAATCCCTGGACCAAGTTGCGTTTAATATTAAGGGGAACAAAACTGTGAAAGTTAATGTATTGTCCCGTCCAGGTTTTATTTCGGAATATTCTACGTTGGATAGACCCATCCTCTTGTCTGTGCAGAAGAACGTCGAGGAACGCGATTTCATTGTTTGCCTCAAACTCTGCAGAGAACGTTAGCGAGGGGTGTGAATTGTTGAATTTTTGAATTAGGACGTCTGTGTCGGTGGTAACATCCGTCAGGCAGAAAATATTGTCCACGTACCGACCGTAGAAGATGAGGTCATTAATGGTATCTTGTAAACTTGTCATCTCGACTTTGGGAAGAAATCGGTCTCGAGTTCTATTCTCGCACATCTTGTCGATACGAATCACCGAGTCGATGCCAAAGAAGCCTTTCAGATTGTCTACCGGACACCAGCAGGCTTCTCCAAAGGCCTACGCCAACGGGTGCTAGCTACAGCTGAGGCAGTGGCTATACGGCCAGCCAATCCAGTGCTATGCTGTCAGAAGACTCTGACACAGGCGCTCTGTCATCCGTGGCCGACGCCGACCCCAACCTCCTGATGCCAGGGTGTGTGCACAAGGTACCCGACGTACTCACAGCCTATGCCCCCCCCCTCTTCCTCGCCCCCTAAACCCAATGACCACGACACGCCGACCACGTCATAGCACACCTCGTCATGCGAGTGGCGTGGGAACGATGGATGTTAATTGTCCCCGAATCATTTATAAGTCATGTACTTCGCATAACTTAAACTTCATTGTAACCGTTTTGGCCTGATGAAGAGATACTGAAAACACGTGTTCATTTGGCTTTTCAAAAGCCGTATTGTAAGTGAATCAGGCTGTTAGGAGGAAGTAAGTCTGGCTAAGGACAAGCTGAACCGAAATATATATTCGATACTCTTCTCAAGGTCATTGACATCCCAGCTGGAAGTGTCTTATGTTTTCACATGCTTCGAAATATCAAAAAACGCAATAAACCAATAGCACTGAGGGAGGAAAAAAGTATTATCGGTCTTTTTTCACTATAAACAACTTCCGCGTTCACACTCTCCATTAACTTCCGCGTTTGCCCCAATTGCCACTGCTAGGTACAAGTAAAACGACTGACTTCCTACCTTTTTGTTTTGCTCCATGCCACTATGCTCTTTTCCTCCGGCTTCATCTGTCCTTGTATTCTGCGTCGGTCTTCTACAGGTGTGCACCTGTTTGTTCGTTTTTAATCGTACTGCTGCTTCGGAGGTCTTCGACTGGCTGTATTTTCCGCCCGCTTTTACTTCTGCTTCCCTTGAACACACCCCGCTGATGGACACTAAATACTCGGTTTGGGTTTAGACACATAATGTCCTCTAGCGGAATACATAGCCCATAGGTCCAGCCTGTAACGTAGCACGCCGCCGCCTTCATTCCAAAGTCACAGTCTCAAAATGAGGGTTCCTCGATCTGCCGACCGAAGGAGATGCTCGCCGAGTTTTAAGCCAAAGATCTTACTACTGAATCAGATAAGCACACCGCACCTATCGAATTCCTTTCCCGCGGTTATAATGATGCTGTAGGCAAGAAGACCTGACACGGGAATGCGGACTACCCGTACTACAGTTGGCCTCGCTGAATTCCGGGAGGTCCCTAGTCCCCTGTCCCAAGTATTATCCTAATTCTTACCCTATTAATCAACACAACGCTCACATGGACCCGCCTGGAATTTAGGGCAATCTCACCGGCAAAACAGGCGGTCTATAGTTTCGTGGCCAACCGCTAAAAGTTTTTAATGCGCCCAGCTAATATTTTGGGCCTGAAAAACTGCCTCGAGCACACTTTATCAGACCTTTGAACTGCTAGAGCAGATATCTTCACGGAATGGCGAGGCATCACTATGGCCTTTGCTACTAAATTTCGTGACTCCTCCTTACGTCACAGTCAACAGCCACACGAGAAGTTGGGGCTAGATCGCAGTTGGTAGCCAAGCCCCGTATTACAGGTGGCGGAGAGGGGGGTGGTTGTTTACTAGGGCAATTTTGTGGGGCTCCATAATCACGCCTGACCCATTTGGCTTCCGTTTTACGTTTGCGGTTAGGATTGGGGTACCGGTTAATGGTTTCCGATTTTTGGGTTAGGGCTATGCCTTTAGGCTTAGGTTTTCTGGCAAGGATAAGGTTTGAACGTTCAAATAGGTGTCAGTATTACGGTTAGTTTTCTCAGTTGTGGCTACGCCTAAGGGCTACGGTTACGTATACGATTTCGGTTAGGGTTGCCGTTAGGGTTAACGTTCAAGTTTGAGGTTAGGATTAAGGTTAGGATTGGGGTTTAGGTCGCCGTCCGCTTCCCCATCCCTGGCTACAAATTGCGATCCAGCCGGTGTAGTTGGCAACGCTAGCACAGCAGCCTAGATTTCATGACTGCCGCACCTAGCACAGAAATCAAAATTGCAACACACGCACGCGCACACACAACAAGCGCAACCTTCTCGAAAGCCAACATTCTTTCCGCTAGATGTTGCGTCAGGAGTTATTGGCTGCCGGACGCATAGTCCACAGCAGTGCTTTGTCACGGCCAGCCGTCCCCACGCGCACAGCAAACATATCCCTGGACCTACGTGCGTCCGCCATCTCGGCGACATACAGAACACAGTCATATGGCGAGACGCGTCCAAAAGTCTCCCATTGTGCGGTTTTCTGCACTTCGAACCTGCTAGAACCACAGAGCAAGAAACAAGTTGTTGATTCATTTTTTCCAAAAGGCTCTCTTCTCTTATTGTTTGTCAAAAATACTCTAAAAAGAAAACATAGAAAAGCAAAACAATGTCATGAGGGGTCAACAAGGTAACATGGACGGACATCAGTGGCAAGAGGGCTTCAAGTAGGAGGCAGGAGAAGGCGGGTGGCTATTCACATTCAAAAGTGCAGCTGGGGGGCAGGCGATAAGAGTGGGTGTAAGTGAACCCCCCATATGTAGGTCCATCCCATGTACTGGTGGGGTAGTGAAGAACCGCGACTTGGTAAAATACATGCCTTATAACTGCAAGGCGGGGGATGGGAGGTGTGTGTGGGGAGGAACTCAATTTGTCTTTACAGTCTCCAAGAACGAGATTGGGCTGCCGGTTCGGTACTCGTAGGACCTCAGTGGACGCGGGACGGGTAAAGAAGGCCCACTTTGTGACCAGCCCGCCTCGGCTGGGCTGGAAGCCTTCATGTATGGCTCTGGTTGGGATGCGAAGTCAGCATTTACGACACAGTCCGGATTAAACAGCCGGAGGCAGGGAGGTGGCGGACCGTGTAAGACCAGCGGCTGAGGGAAACTCGCTTCAGTGAGCACAGCACCGTTCAAGTAATCAGAAATATTGTAGGGAAGAGGGGTTCTGCGGTTGGCGGAAGAGACGCCCGGTAACGGCGGAAAGGCCTCTAGACCAACGTCGAAACCGGTATTCTGAAGCAAAGGAAGGATATGAGTACAGATTAGCGCGCTTGCTGATTGGCCACTATATGCGCACGTTGACCAGTGAAGCGAGAAAGAAACATTAGCGGTTAGATATGCAGCTTTAGGTAAGTTATTTATGCAAGCTCTTGGGAACTTTTTTACGGCCACTTTTACAGACTCCTCTGCCGGAAGAATAATAAAGAATTTGCCGAAGTTGCAAGAAATCGAAATAATTTTGAGATACTCACCTATTACATGAGACAGAATACGTTGGGAGGAACATATATAAATATATATCTCACTTCTATTCCGGAAGGGCGTTGACGACAGTCACAAATGAGAAATGTTCTGAATTTGTGGCCGCGGATAGCGAGAAAAGGGCGCAGAATTCTATCTACCTCACAAATTTGTGCCATATTGCAAAGATCCTTCGTAAGTAACGTTCGTAATAGGTGATGAATAGGTTCTGGGTTTTGCCGCATACGTGGATGGTGAGGAGTTTTTTTTTCACAGTGTGATTTACTTAGGGAGCATGAAACATAGTTGACTAGGCTACATTTGTTCAAACCTATTATTTCCTACTTGCTGGAAGGCAGAGTTAAGTAGGAACACGCTCATGTGTTTGTCCGTGCAAATGTCGTATGGCGACCGAATGGCGGGGATAGAAACTGAAAATATAGACCGCACAAACACACACACACACACACGACAGTTTGGCCGTTGATTCCTGCGATGTCCACCGTATGCCCCACAACAGGATGAGAGCAGAGATAGATACTGGCGTGTAAGTTAGTTTATAATGATACCAAACTTGCGTAGCATCTACCACACCCCCTCGTACTTCCCGCATGGGCCCGATGTCAAGACAGAGTCAAGATGGCCGGAGGCGGGAAAGGGCGCAGGTGGCTGACATGGCGAAAACCTGCACCTAGGCGTACCACCACTGATCAGAAACACACACTACTTCCATGCTCTATTAATTACTACATGCTAGTAGTTATTGCCCGCTGCGTTCAGGCGGACATATCACCAGATGTAAGCGATTCTAATGAGTGATAGCCCAAAATTTGCGATTAGAGAGAGAGAGGTTGTTACAAGTAAGATGCGAAACAAATGAGGCATCCAAAGGCTGACTGATTAAAGACCAGTCAACCGTTCAAAGTTATTCGGTGGTTAGCCGAGGCCATTTCGCTCAACAGTTACTTACGCAAAAGAAGTTGAAGGATTAGTCAGCCGGTAGGCACATCGTACTTCGACCTAGGCACTATATGAGTTTCCACGCAGGAGCATTGTGTAGGATTCACGAGGGCTCTGTTGAATCAAACAACCTGTCTTTAGGGTTTTCGGCGCTTAAATGAAGTCAATTGCTACTAAAACGAGGGTCGGTAGTTCAACCCGCAAATCATCTGAAAAATTTAAATGGCAGCAGAAGTTCGTGGAAGAAACACCAGCGGACAAGTAGAGAGGACCTGGCAGACTTTAAAATACTACGCTTCCCTCACACAAAATACAGCTTTAAAACCCTGTTTACTTGTTCACACACACAAGTGGATCATGCAGTTATTAAGTTACATGAGCACAGAATCCACTGCAATGCGGCAAACTCCGATTATGGTTAGCGAGGCCAACAGCATTCAAAGAGTCATTGCTTGAGAGGATTCTCTTTAAATAAATGAAGAGGAGACCTTAAAGAGGACTCATACATCATCTGATGTCGGCTTAGGATAATAAATAACAGACATTTTAAGGAAGACTTATAAAGAGCGGAAGCAGCGTAAAGGTAATTGGATTGTGCGAATATCGTTCTGTCAAAGAAACATTCTGTCAGTTATGCTCCATTATCAACATGGAAGTCAACTGAATGTTCCTCAGAATCTTACCATATTAGTAGGTAGGATCCAGGGGGTTCAAGATACTATACAAACTTTGCTCGTGAATACGTTGTAAAACTTTACCTACCATGATTACGGCATAGCTGTGGATAATAACTTAATGACCTCAGTGGGAGACATGGAGTAGGCTTCTGAAGATACAGGAAAAATAATTCGGAAAATTCAATTCCGTGACGATGGCGTTACGGACGGCCAGGATCGGAAATGAAATGCAAGAACCATTTTCCTAATAATTTGACGAGGTGCACACCACTCTACTTACCAGGTCTGGAAACATTCTAAAGGACGAAATGTGGAAGAGCGGTGGGATATGAGAGAGGAATAGCGAGGTTTGAGGTGGACGGGTTGAGGGACACACCGCTTGCTTAGCACAACATCGTTTTTACGACCGATCCTAGGTTCAAGCTGATCTGTACTTGTATCTAGGATCAGAGGTCACCCTACACGTTGAGCGTAACCACCCTGTCTCTCACAAACCAAATACAGCCCACAGTCTTCTGAATCGAGCCAATACTCACTGCTATGACGAAACAAGTTATCGAGCAGAAATGAAATGCTTTTACAAACAGTTCTCCCAAAATGGGTACCAACATGACTTTATACGTCAATGCACGAGGCACCAATGCTATGACCGCTAAGGCACCAAAACCAATTACCTGGCAAACTCTCTCATACGCGAAAAATCTACCTGAATTCGTCGAAAGACAATTAAAAAAGTACCAGATACACGTAACGCACCAGTCGGCAACTACCTTACGCACCCAGCTTGTACACCCTAAGGACAGGGTTGGCTACCCCAAAAGAAAAGGTGTTGTCTACAAAATCCCATGTTCTAGTTGCGACGCCGTCAATTGTGGCCAAACTGGGGAATCTGTCCCAACCCGTAAACATGAACATCAGTTAGCGGTAAATAGATGCGACCATATATCTCAGGTGGCCATGTAAAAACTGGACACTGGGAGCAAATTTTCATGAGAAAACACTCGCATTGTTGGCGCCTGCCAGTAAGGAAGGACCGCAAATTCCTTGAGGCAATGCACTCAGATGAGGGATACATCAACCGGCATATCGATATAAATGCCACACAAGATCGTTAAGGACAGATTCAAACTGACTCAACGAATCCTGAGAAGATGACTTTAACCAATCATAGAATCCTTTGTCAGACTCGGTCTAGAAGCTAATTGTTTTTGTACACCCCTTGCCTGAAGACGAGCTGGGGAACTAGTCTCGAAGATTCATACAATAAAGTTTACTGTTTTCAAAATAATTCCATATTTCTAATCATATCTCTTGGGATGCCTGTTTTTCAATTTATATATATATTCAATCAGGAATGGGCACACATTGATCTGTTGGCGTCCAGAAGCAAGCAAACTGCGTATGGGTGGCAAAGGCCACGAACAGGCAACCGCCTACCAGGCTGAAGTCGGCCAAGTCATAATAGCAGCGAGGAGGGACGACAGAGAATGTGGGTTGATTAATACAGTACCGATCGGGTTTATTTTGCTTTCATTCAGCCAATCATAGCCCTGACCAGCAGTTGAAACCAGAAACGCAAACATGCGCACAGGCACACCTGACGCAGTTTTTCCATCATTGGGGTCCACCAGATGGGTCATAAACACTTCATCGAACTTAAGTTCATCAATACCTCGCCACCCGTCATTCTCTGTCGCCGTAGGTCGGGTGTTTATACAATTTATTCTTATTACGGAATTTTTTAAGACCGCGGAATTGCCGTTCATAAATTCTCGTGTCTCTGAGTTTACTAATGGTCCTTTTAAAATTTAAAATATGGCTCAAATCCAGTCCTAAATTGCATGAACCCCATATGGACTGCTCTATATCACGTAGAGAAATGTATGGCTTTCCTTACACAGAAAATATACAACTCGGAGTTTGGAAAGCTCAAATGCAAGCGTAACCGCTGCTCAGGTTCAAAATTATTCGGGAATGGAAAACGTTCTCTAAAATCGTATTATAACCCTTCCTTTAAATATAAACTTTAGATAAGACGTAATTTTCTACCAAGTGAGAAAAGAATGAATAGTTTCATGCATGCCTCCTATGACATGTATTCTAATTTAACATTGCATCAAAAATCAATGTAAAAATTCATGCTAACCAAGTAGTCATTTTTGCAAGCGGCTGCAAAAAATTCATTCAAAAGCCGGCATCCTTATGGAAGTAAATTATTATAGCATTATGTTGCACGGTAATTAATATTACAACCACGCTTAAGTAACCTGTTCCATTCGGAAATATCTCAGAATTCCGGTTATCATTTCGTGAGTTAGCGCATCTACAGTGTATATATATGTAGATCAGAGGTGGTATACACATATATATACATAAAGTAGGCGTTTAACCCTCATTGTTGTGTATAGGATCTCACTCGATCTCATTCTGTTCCGCCCGCCAGCTTGCTACTGACGACAACGTGCGTTGTGTCATAGGACACATACCACATATAATACATCAACAGCTCACGACTATTGCGACAGGCCACACGTAGGTGGCTGTATCACGGTCCTTACCAAGCACCAGTATGTTATAGGTCATATGAAGTGAGGTATATAAATATGTCAAGTAAGCGTTTGACGCTCACTGTTGCGGTTAGGATCTAACTCGGTAACGACCGTGAAACAGCTATCTGCGTCTGACCTGTTGCCCTCCTAATGAGTCGCTCGTGTATATATATTTTCACTTGAAGCAGTCCATATTATTAAAATAGAACTATCGTTGTCTTAGCAGTTAGCACACCTGCGCCAAGGTGTGAAGATCGGTGGAAGAGAACGCTGATCCACATGCCGTGGCTAAGGAAGACAATAATTACGAAAGACCGGATAGAATTTTAGTAATCACGGTTACCACTGTCAGACAGGGAGCCCGATCTCACTCGAAAATTATCGGAAATTTAGCTGTGTGGAGCGCTTACACTTAGACATTTTTTGAAGATGGCAACCAGAAGAAGGCAGAGTTTTGCATTGTCTGTCAGATGAAGAAAGATGCATTAGAGTGAAACCAGCAAAAATCAGTACACTGATTTGTACCGAGCATATTGTCTTGTCCTCTTAAGAGTCAAATCTCCTTTTTGTAGAATCAGACAACTCCTGTCTAACATTCTCACAAATAAATCATTTTCTCTCGGAACCACGGGATAAAACATAAAAAAATTGAAAGCCGACTTACTATACTCCCGTAGTTGGCATTATTGCCCATCGGCAACGCATCACCCCCCTTGCTTCCCGGCGTCCGTGGACGGGGAGATGAGGTAGAAGATGCGGGAGCAACGGATGCCGCCTTGCCTTTTGACAGAGCGGATTTCAGAAGCTCCCCCGAGTCTGTGAAACCACGGTAGAGAATGTCGGGCGAGAGGGACAGACTTATAAGCATGATCATACCGAGGTAGAGAATGCCCGCAGAAGGACCAGAACTTAGCGCGGACCACAGATAATACAGTTGAAAGCCACCATCGACGGGCAAGACGACAAAATTAGTAAGAATAAAGATGAGGTAGTTTAGTATAAGGGTTCCACCAGTGGAGGCGAGGAGAAAAACATTCCAATGATAGCTGGCTAAGAACAGCTTCAGAGTCACCGTAATGAATACCACGTTCATCATGTAGGAGCCAAACCCATCCAGGGTGCCCACAGCACTACCAAAATTGCCGCCATTGGAGGCGCCAGCATCAGCAAGGAAGTAGATGCCAAAGAATATGGCCAGTCCGTGCCAGGTAGCAAAAGCCAGCCAGGTGAAGAAGTTGGGCCAACTGAGGAGGGTGTTTCCGCTGATAGTCTTGTAGATCTCCGGCTTACTCATCAGCAGATGCTGGGGCAGTCGCTGTTCAAACAAGCCGTAGAACATAACCGGGAAGCTGGTCATCGTGATGTTGTAGATGAGCAGGTAGATGTTATTGTACACGCTCTGCATGGAGAAAAGCGAGAAAATTCCGAAGAGCATCTGGGTGAGCACGAAGACGAGGTTTTTGTAGAAGAAGTACTGCACCAAGTTGGCTGTGCGCACGTAGTAATGGTAGCCATGAAAGAGGAGAGCTCGCTTCACAAAACGGAAGCGGGTAAAGGAGTAGTCGGCTGAGCGAGCAGCCTGTCTACCCTCCTTGCCCATCAGACCGAAACCCACGTCCGCCTCCAGGATCATGGAGACATCGTTGCCGCCGTCACCAATGGCTGCACATACGGGTCTCGGGTCCGCACTCCCCTTCATCAGTTTAACGACCTCGGCTTTTTGCATGGGCGTCAGACGACAGCAGAGGACATTTTCGCTGAGTTGACAGAGTTTCAGGAATTGTTTCCGGGCGATGGTCTGCACGTTAGGGAAAACAGGTAAGGGAACGCTTATACCAACAACATATGGAGTTGTAGCAGTCTACTCTTTTGACCATCTGGACCGTAGACAGCTGAGAGAAAAGCCGTAATATAAGAAAGTCGACTAGGGAAGCACACAGTTTGACTGTGAGGAGTGAAATGGGTCAAAGTGAATTATGTCCCCAAAAAGACGCTAGCGCGGGCTGGAGGAATAATGAATGTCAACGGTTTTCTAAAACTCATACAACATAAAGAGGTCTTAAAAGAATTACCCTTCCCGAAACACGATTCAAAATTTAGAAGAGGAGTTGGCGAGCATACGCTGTTTTCGATAGATTCTCTTCAAGCCAGTACAATTATATGAGAACGGGACATAGTCAAACATGTCATTGATTGAAAAATCGATAAAAGTTATTTTTTAATCACAGGTTGGGTGAGAGCGGAAGGTCGCGGAATGTTGCAGGTGGTTAGTCAAAATTTGACCACGGTAAGCGCGGAGCCTGAATGAGGTTCTTCCGGTCGCATAGGGTCGGTTTTCGTAACTTGGTGGCGGCCACTTCTGCTTTTACCAACAAGCGCTGACCCAGTAGCTTAGGATAGCAGGAGGGGACCTTATAAATCACACGAAAAGCTTCGCCGGGATCCACTCGATGTCCGAAATCAACAACACGCGCAAGAATGCCACTCCTTATGCTCTTAGTTTAGCCTTTTCCTAGCCAAGTCGTGAGGTGTTCTCGTATACTTTTGGATAGTCGCCGACTCCTACGACGTAAAATAGAGTTTGTGGAGAATTAAATATGAACCCTTGCTGGTGGAAAAGTTCACGAGACAGCTTGATCTGGGCGTCTTCTTAGGAGTTCATTCGCAGCGTCACCTAAAAGAAGAACTTTGAGAAGCAAAGTTTTCTTCTCGACAATCAGTGTTGTGGGTGTTGGGGGTCGTTCGGCAATGTTCTTCGCAATGAACCTGTCAGGATACCCATTTTGGCGAAGGATCTCCTGGATTTTCCTAAGCTCCTCCTTAATGCTATCCGTTGCACAAAATTTTTAGCTTTTTGTGCCAAACGCCGGACTATATGTAGTTTTTGCTGGAGGAATACGAAACTGGCGAAGTTTTTGTATTGTCCAGACCAGGTTTTCTTCCGATAGACGCTCCGTCGGACGCTAACGTCAGTACTCCCCTTTAGAGGGACATCTAAGAAATGAAGCAGAACATAACAGTTAAAACTGTCGACGATGCCTACATCGCGTCTTATAGCCTAAAGGACGCAGGGACGGGGACTTGCGCGCGAGTTAGTCAAAGTTGACAGGAGACTTCCGCTGCGTCTACCGCACTCCCTCGACTTCGCCCGGAGGCCGGATCGGGCGCAGGTGACCGGCGCGGCCAGAGTCTGTGTCCAGGCGTACCACCACGGCCCCAATGTTGGCATTTGCTGTGGTGCACAGCCCAATAACGCGTGTCGGACTCCGACCTTACCCCCTTGTCCGGCGCAACCCCACCACGTGGACCGTAGCAGGGGAGGTATTTTCGTTAAAGAACATAAAAACCAAAGCCTGTTTACAAACGTGCCATTGGATGAAACATTTGACGGAACGGAATGGCTCGACAAAGCCTACTTGTTATAATGCGGACTCTCTGGGGCTCACGTTTGCCAAAGTAAAATAAAAATGTCCTACCGTGGTAGTCGGTATCGAGCTGATATATTTTCTTCTCCACCCTTTCAATTATTTGGAAAATGTGTGAAGGGTTTGACAACTACTTGCGTTTTCAGTCATTCCCTCAACACAGGGTAGAAGAAATATCCATACGTTCAAGGTGGACTAGCTCTTCAAGTCACTGGAATTGCTGTTTTCTTTTGCGCATTTGACGTTTCGACGGTGGTGAACCTACTAGGCGTTCAAAACTTTCGGTATTGCAATAAATCACTCGCTTTGAGCGTGCCCTCCATCTCGAATTATCACGCTGGAATTCTTAACTTTGCCTGCCTAGTTTCTAACCAATTTTTTGGCTTCAGACAGCCATATCACCAGTCCCGACCAGGTGACTTCAGACGTGAACTCGGATATTTCGTTCCTAAAATACTTGAGTCAAACGTCGTTCCATTTCATCAGTGAGTTCACGCTCAGCATGTTGTGAGCGGAAACGTTCAGAACCAGGTGAAGATGGTGCTTACAGATTTGCCCTGATTGCAATGAAAGGAACAGGGTGTGATTCTGTTATGTAGAGCTACGGTTCAGGATTTTTTCCGACCGCCGCATGGTAGTGAGTAGTTGCAATTGAAAGGGGTTGGACATTGGTATTATTATCCTTCATATTAGTAATTGTCCTGCCCTACTTCAGTGTCCTAACCCTTGCCCCAATCCCAATCCCAACCCCGGCCATAACCTTAACAACAATTTTAACCCTAATCCTGATCACCCCCTTAAATTTAGCGCACAGGCACATGAAATATGAATGAGGGGCTTATGACTGTGACCTACCACGAAATGTCCTACCGAAGGCGACTAGGGTGTCTCCGATGCCTGCAGACTAAGCTTGATCCCCAGGTCTTTCGAGCCGATGGTTGGGCTACGGTTACTGCGCCCTACGTGGCCGTTAATAAGGGGGGCTTCGGAATGCATGCCTAGGGCTGAAGTGGAAAATATCCTGATCCCAGGCGTTTCCGTAGACGATAGCACAGAGGAAAGTAAGCACAGCAGGGAGTACCTCTATTTTCAAAGTCCTCAAAAATAGAGGCTGGGTACCCTTTCCCAAAAGGAGCAGGCGTTCATATCGCCAATGAGCAGAACCCGCAAACATGGTGAGTTCAGCAGGCGGAAGATCATTTTTGTCCACGAGCATTACTACTGACCATGTGAACAAGTCTAATTCCGAACCGTTTGGCATGTAATCGTTTTTGGCATGAAAGATACCGTAAGTTCTTCAAAAGGCCAACGAAGTCTATCTTTCTAATTTGCGTCCTGGGGGTTCCGGTTCATATGAGACTTCCTCGTGGTTTAGGATTCTTGTCTGTTAGCAATGTAAACGTTGGCATCACAGTCCAAACTGCTGTGCCTTTTAACTGTTGCGACGTACCCTTCTTCATCACGCATAACCCAGGCCACGGCCTGGAACTGTAGACGAACGTGTACGAGTTCGTTGAGATCCAAGGTACTGATTCCTTCAATGTATCCACCAGTACCCGCATATGCCTGGAGTCTGTTCTCCAGAACTGCCAACGTTAATTGAATTACTTTAATTTTCAAAATTTTTCAGTGCGTAGGCTTTTTTTTCAACGTCTTCTGTGGAGAGCGAGGTCTCCAATTATGAAGCTTTCTAGGTGCTTCAGAATGGGAAGGACTTCTCCGATTGGGGAATGGAAGTAGAAATACACAGGCGTGGCTCCTGACTGCGAACGACCTTGAGAGATCGTCCACAAACTGCAATCAAAACACCAACGTCGGTCGCACGCCCAGATGTCCACTTTATATGCATTCACACGCAACTGTACGCAGGCAAGGTCAAAACGGAAGTGACTGCCACGACTGAGGATAGGCCTCTGGAGTCTGGACAAGCAAGTGAATGCATAGGACTAATTTTAACAAAATAACACTACAGAGGATGAAAACTGCTCATGCTCATACGTGCATTAAGGCTGGGCAAAGCACAAAAAGGATGTTACTTGCAATTTAAAATTCCGTCAAAATTTGCCAGGAGCATAAAGAATACGGTTTTTGACGGATGACATTTGAGATTGCACGCCGGTACAGTGACGTAGCTATTTTGCTCGCACGCTAAAAGGGCGGAGTTTGGTCCTGAAGCCCCATCTGAGTGATACCATGCGGCTAGTTTTTTAAAAACATTTTGGTAGGCCTGAATACGCCGACTTTATAAATAGTCCGTCTCTGCATCTTACCTACCATTTTAATCCAGCGAGTGACTGTGCCACGGTGGAGGAGTCCTTATACGCCACCCTCGTTTACATCACATTATCCTTATCCAGCAAGTGTCTAAGCAGACTTGCTAATAGAATTTTACGGATGCATTGGAACTCCGTTAGTTCCTCTTCAGCTTGTGCGCTCTGTTCCTTCCTAATCCAGTGAGTTGCTAAGTTAGGTACATATGTTAACTGATGTTGTTTTAGTAAACTAACCATATGGTGTCAATCAAGTAGGGCTGCAGAACCAAACCTCGTCACGCTAACAGTGCTAGTGGAAACCTAGCATTGATCAGAAGGAGGAGAAGAAGCGATCGCTGGAACAATGGCTTTATTCGCCTGACGTTTCGGATTCTCTCTTGAATCCATCATCAAGAGATTAAAGAGAGAATCCGAAACGTCAGGCGAATAAAGCCATTGTTCCAGTGATCGCTTCTTCTTCTGATCAACTAGTTCCTGTAACTCGCATCTTCGCTTGTATCGGCAAACCTAGCATTCCCATCTAAAAGCCGGTAGTAGCAAGCAGAATGGCAAATGAGCATAGTTTTGACGTGCTCTAACGGGGAAGGGGGGGGGGGATCAGTGAAATTTTGCGCAAGTATTTTGCTGACTTTTGGTGGATCGGCAGGCCAGCATGCTGCCAGCGTTTTCCACGCAGTTTCTGACGAGGATGCAGTTGTAAAATATGATGTACAGTTTTGTGTGAAGGTATTCAGCGAGCATGGGGGAAAGATCTGTGGTAAACAGATTGCCGGGCGCAGGAAGGCTGCTTGCGCAAACATTTAAGCTGAGTGCTACAAACTGCAAAGAATAACTTGTATGAGCGTTCAGAGGTGTTGGCTATCATCCTCCTTCTCAAATATGCCGAAATACTTCTAGAATCCTAAGTTTACCATGTAAGGAGCTGCAAACAGCTGACACTAGGCTCTATACTACATTTTTTCGAAATACAAAACTGACATAAACACGGTCACATGCATGAAAAGCCCTCGTCCCAAAAAGAAATCCATCTGAAAAGCCACACCCAGCTTCTTTCCAGTATGAGGCAACTAAATCCATCCCATGCCCAGAGAACAAACATAACAACGTGACTTGCGCGTGAATAAATTTACTAGTTTTATCTTCCTTCACCTACTCTGGCCTCAGTCACCTGGCTCCAATTGCGAAACTGTGTTAAGATGGCACGTAGTGGACACGCACGCATTGCCCGGCAAGGCTGAACAGTCCGTCTACGCGCGCACTACACGGACCCGATATTTAGAGCATATATCAGGCTTTCACAAGGGCAGTTCGGTTCTTGCATCGACGACAATGCCAAAAATGCCGCTGCAGCCTGACTCCCTATCCTGTTCCGTCAGTTGACGACCTTCCAAGCCATGAAGTTTAGCACGGCGTGATATATTAAAACGCATCCGATTCAGTACAGCCAGGAATGGGCTGACTTGCTGGGGCGTCGGCCTTTACTCTCCTCCATCTCCCACGTACCAGTCGGCTCTTCGAGCATGCCAACCAACCGGTGATGGGATTGGGCTCAATGGCTAACGCGGCGTGAAGGCCTACGTGTGTCTCCTATATACGGCAGTATTTGTGGGCTAGTGGGTAGTCTGCGCGGTCCTGATTAACGCGTCCAGTGAGTCAATCTGACGTCCGTCCTGGTCAGGCGCATCTACAGTGTCGCGCAGTGTAGGAACAGACCTCTGAGTCTTATACTTCCATGACCCACTAAAGTGGACTTCAGGTTTTGTGCGCATCAGTAGCTGGGACGGGAATGACACTGACTGCCAGGCTAGAAATTAGCATTCTGATATGCGTAGTCTGGAATGGCCATTTCTTTCTTATAAGTCGTCGTCAGCCAGTCAAACCCAACCTCGAAGTGTGGCATACCCGAGGCTCGAACTCGCGACCTGTTTGTTAGAAGTCCAGGCCTCTAACCAATGGGCCATGAGCCCGTTGCCCTGTCGGTTTTCGATCGGGAATATACAATGGTAGGGGGCGCTCACCGATCGTTCCCGCTGTGTGCGCCGCTGTGCGGCTGCTGGTTGGGCTCGAGAGAGAGAGTCCATAAGTCACAGCGGAACGAGTGAGTTCCGTAAGAACGATCGGTGAGCGCCCCCTACCAATGCGTAGTCTTTTCGTCAACAGTTTTCCAAATGTCAGACTGGTTTTAAGACAATGTAGACGTAATGGCCAATACCGATGGGACAGACTTCAGACATCCCCGGTAAGGGGGGGATAACAAGGGAAGTGAAGTTAGTAGGAAAATGCTTACAGTTAGGGCGTAATTGAGCGAGGCTCCATCCACAACCAAACCGAATTTGTAGTTAGGGTCAACTTTGCGTGTCTCTACGGCGCCATCGTACTGGGCCTCAATTGTCTGCAAGCAGCCCCTCAGATTCGACTGTTTCGTGAGCCTAATAATGGGAAGGCCGGCCGCGAAGTGTCCTGCGGAATAGCTGATGTTAACGGCCGTTTCTTCCTTGTCACCCGTCAAAATCCAGACCTATAAAGAAGATCGGCAAAAATAGTACTTTTTACAAGCAAAATAATCATGTAAAACTAGTCGCTGATCGCACTCCAGCAAGTAGAAGAATGCAAAAACCCCTAACTGACATACTCGTGCTTGAAAACAAAGGCTGAACTTACCTGCCGCTGCAAAGCGACGTTTCACGCAGCCTATTAAAAGCCTGTTGGCAAAGTAGGAATAAACTGATGGCGCAGATATGTGAACAATTCACCCAGTGAGTATTTATACTGACAGACGCGCAAGACTAGCTGGCTTTTGGGAAATCTCAGTAGGATTCATGATAAAAATGAGTAAGAAACGCCAGCTGCGTAAATAATGGCCCTGATCCGTGGCCGCTCATTATGAACTTTTTTCATTACGGAAAATATTTACTATGCACTGGCTTGAGCAAGTTTGCTTTGCCCGAATCTGCCAAATGCAAGCATAAACGCTCAAAGAAGGAGAATGTTATTGTGTCTTGGCTTTTCACCATCCTCCCAGGGGGTATTTCCAGCTTCCAGTCCGAAGGTGACTTTTGAAGAAAATGCCCGTTCGCTGGTTAAGTCCCACCAATCCTCCTGAATTATTTTCCCTCTTTGGCAGGTGATTAAAAAACGCGGATTTATTAGTCCAACCATGTCTGCGCGGGCAGCCCGTCTCCATTTGGTTAAACCTCCTTTTGAGCGCCACCTTCGAGCGCACTCATCAGCGAGTCGTTAGTAATTTATAGAAGCCATTAAAGGATTATTTTACTCTTTTGCAAATATAAGTGTCCGCAAACTCCAAAAGCGGTGATCAGTAAGAGAGGTTTATGGCAGGTTTGAGGTGACGTGTAGGAGTCCGAGTGTCACAGTCTCTTCAGTAAAGACATTTAGGACGGCGAATTCACCACAAAGCCAACATTAACGACAGGGAGACGATCATACACTCTGGCATGTGCTCTGTTTGGGCAACTGAAGTGGCTCGGACATAAATCCTAGATAAGAATAACACAGAGGAACAGACGCAACACGGTTTACATAAAATGCCACCTCGGTGCGAAGTAAGCAAAACTGCAATTCTCATCGTTTTTATGATCCTAGAGTTTTGTTTTTGGCTACAAAGATGGTGTAGCCGGTGAGGGTATCATCAGCGGTATCTTGAGCCTAACCAAAGCCTGACAGCTTGTTCTAACATGCCGTGTAGCATAGGGATAAGATAGAGGACTGCCAGAAAAAGACCCTACGGGGAGCTCTGGAGCGCCGACAAGAATGTACAGTTAAAAGTTAATTTAGTACATATCCATGTCATTGTCAAATTATCGGCAAAAACGCTGAAAGTGTTTTTAACAGGTTGCCCAGTTCTCAGGATCGTACATCAGGTTTTGTTGTGTGTTAAAATAGTCCTTTTTTTCGTGAATAATTCCAACGGGCGAGCTTCTTAGACGCAAATAGAAATGGCGTTGGGTTATGATGAAAAATTTTATGCAGGACCGGACGACCAGCCCAGGTTTAAATTGTCGTGAAGTGGTGTGAAAGTAAAAAAACCAATTTCCGCAAACTCCGTCAACACCAATAAGCAAAGAAAAGCCCCCGAGGATGGACAGCCATGGAAAGAACTAGATCGCTATTGGTTTAAATTTATCTGGCACCAAGTAGACCCACGCAGTATGGAATCCAAAGAGGGACCTACTCCTCTCGTTCTGCGGGCAGTCGCACACGACTTATAAAACGGAACAGACGGAGATTGCTGACATAGACGAGGGAGGCTAAAACGGCCGTTTCTGGTTTATTGGCCGTCATCAGCCAACCATGTATAATCCAGGCTCGCAGCACCTGAGACTCCATCTCACGTTCTTTCGATTATTAGAAGTTCGACGCTCGAACATCTAAGCCACGGATCCATTGTCTTGTCGGGTGCGATCGAGCATATTATCTATGACAGAGGGCGTTCAGAGATCGCGTTACGAGACCCGCTTGTCCGTTTTGTGCTCTGGAGCTCGATCCAGAGCCCCGCAGGCAATCGTACGGCGACTTCTAATGTATGCAGAGGGAGACCGCGGGCAAAGACAAGGGATACTGAAGTGGCCATTTCTGACCCTTGGCCCAATGGTTAGAGAGTTTCAGTAATATCCAAAGTCTTGTGGGATGAAGCCTCAGATGCCTCCAAACGTGCGACTAGGAAGGGCTGGAAAACTACGGCTAATAAGCCAGAAATGACCATTTTAACCTCCACTGTCCTTGTGGGTCATCTCCTTCTGCCTATTTCAATTTCTGTTCATTTAACGCATCGAGGACGGTGAGCCTGCCAAACTCTCCGGAATGTCAAGTCGAGCATCTCTATCTGATGCTCCACTTCGTGGCTTTCAGAGCTCAGGCGGATCCATTTGCGGGGAGGAATCCTGGCAAAGACGAAGGGGACTGGGATGGTTATTGTTGCTTTATTAGCCAACCATACCCACTCTCAAGTTTGGACAACTCGAGATCCCAACCCAGGCGTCGTCGTCAGCGAGCCAGAAATGATCATCTCAGTTTCCCTTCTCTTTGTCCGCACTCCTTTCGCAAATAAAACGGATCACTTTATGACTGCCTGTAAGGCCTCTAGATTGAGTACCAAATATAGTAATGGGGCGGACAAATCGCGTAATCCGATTGGATGGTCACCCTTTCCACGATAGCCGGAATCATTTTATCGCTCCCCTGAGAGGGAGAGGAGCGGTGGCCATGGGGGGGGGGGAGTGGCCGAAACGGGGGCTCACCTGGATGCCGGCTTCAGTTAGGGCGCGCAGGGTCTCTGGAACTCCCTCCTGCAGTTTGTCCTCTATACCCGTACAGCCAATCAGCACAAGCTTGTCCTCCACGGCCTTATAGGCTGCCACAAGGGCTGCCTCGCGTCCCTCAATTCTGCCGCGTGCCTCATCCAATTGGGTCTTCAACAGTTGCCATTCCTGGCCGGTAAGTCGACGGGCACCCATTACCAGGGTGCGCAAACCACAGGAGGCGAAGTCGTTCACCTTGTCCATTATCTTATCCGCATCCATGGCCACCTCGTTGAGTTTGCTACCGAAGATGCCGTCGTGGAGAAGATCGGCCATCGGACTATAACTGGTAAGGTTGCCTAGTTTGCACATCTACAGGGGCATAAATTGCAAACAAAAGTTAAGGGAGGCTAGCAAGGATGATTGACTTCTGATGGTAGTTCAGTGTTTCTGGAGCAGCGGTTGGTTGGGGGTATCAGTCATTTGCTGGCTTCTGTAAATTCCATTTATAAAGATATATATTATTCCAGTATCGTAAATATCTACAAAATCGAGGTAGAAGGGCAGGGCAGGGAAGACCAAGACAATAGCCGATTCTGTTTTGTTAGGTCCTCATTCGGTCACTCAAACCTGGGACGGGCGGAAAACAGTGTTTAGAGTTCGACAGTCGCAGATTCAATGTCGCAAGCACACTTGTGACTCGAACTTGAATGTCCTCATGACGGTTCAACCGTCATTACTGACGAAGACCACTGCGCTTTTTCGGCACAGACTTGCTCTGCACCTATCGCACTCTCCCCTCCCTAACCCACTTGAGTCTGCTATCAAGAGTCGAGAAAACTGGAGGTAAAATCATACATACTCCGTCTACGCGTGCCACACACACGCCTGTCCAGCGCTCGATAGGCCAGGATTTTACGCAAACAACAAAGAGAGGCGGCTCGGATCCCAACTGAGTGGGAGTGCCAGATTCAGAAGGAGCCAACGTAGACTGGCTCTCCATCCTGAGAGATCGAGTTAGCCAGTCAGTTGACAGTCTGACAAATCACGGCATTTATAACACCGTGATGGTTTAAAAGCGAATCAGATTGCCTATAGTGAGAGTTATGTGCTTGACGCTGTGAGAAGGCAGTATCTAGGCTGACTTCCCTTTCTCTTCCCTCTCCCAAGTACCAGTTCACTGTCCGATTGGTGGATTGGGCACAGAGACTGACAAAGCCGGACAGACGTCTGCGCGCGCCACACACCACCTAGCTCCCTGCACGATGCACCACGTTTTCACGCAGAGGGGGCACTCGGATCGAATCTTGCGCGCTTGAGACTTCCATGGACGCCCCACACTGGGAAGGTATCATTGAGCCTAACTTACAGCCCATCAGTCGACCTTTCCACAAAGTTTGCAGTGATTGACGGAAAGCACAGTCGCTGTCCAACTCATGCCATACGCGGGCCCTGGATTTACTGAAGTGGCAAGTGCGACGCAGACGCAGCAGGAAGGAGCCACTGTCACTTAACCGTCGTTCTAACCGAAGTTCGTGTCAGTCTGTCAGCTGGTAACCTACGAAATCACGAATTTCGGCGGATCGTGATAGCTTCAGACGCGTTATATGTGCTTTTTTAGTCAATAATATTTAATGCTAGGGGGCGCTCGCCGATCTTTCTTACGGAACTCACTCGTTCCGTTGTGCCTTATGGGCTCTCTCTCGAGCCTAACCAGTAGCCGCACAGCGGCGCATGATATAGGCAGAATGTTATTACCGACAAAGGCAAGGGAGACTGGAATGGCCATTTCTGGCTTATTAGCCGTCGTCAGCCAGTCCTGCCCAACCCCGAAGTGTGCAACACCCGAGGCTCGAACTCGCGACATGTTAATTCGAGCCTCGGGTGTTCCATACTTCGGGGTTGAGAACGACTGGCTGACGACGGCTAATAAGCCAGAAATGGCCATTCCAGTCTCCCTTGCCTTTGTCGGTAATAACATTCTGTCAGTAATATTTGTTAGTCGAGTAAGTGCAGTTTGCCTGGGACGTCCTTCAACCAATCGCGTCCGAAGAAAGGCAACGCGTGGTCACGAGGCCTCAAGTAGTAGTCTAGAAAATCGATGCCGCATGAACGCGTTGGTGGTACAAAGTTGGAAAAATGTATCCCAACGACGTCCTACGTGCGCTCACTTTCTACCATCACCACCAACACACCCACCTCCAGCGATGTGGGCTCGGTACATACCTGTTCCCATTACGATCTAACATTCATCTCACACATCGGGCTGGTCGCCCTCTTGCGGATCTGCCCCACCATGACTGGCAAATCAGTTCCTGGAGCACCAAACTACACTCATCGCGCCCGCCTCGACTGCCATCACTGCCCCCGTACATTCACTCACCGCATGGGGTTATAAGGTGACACGCGCATTCACGAAAACCCGCAGTAGACAACCGCCGGCTACATCACAGATCTCCCACCAGCACCCCAATCACACATCGCCACTGCAAGAATTCGATTGCGACATCCCACTTGCGTGGGAAGTGTGTTTGTCGGCTTCTTCTCCATGCGACTGCTCTGCCGCATGTGCGATCAGAGCGTGAGATTTACGGTGCACCAGCACCGTGGTTTAGAAGGCTGCCGACTGACGCCTCAGTTCAGTTCACACAGTCTGCCCAGTTGTGCGTTTTTGTGTGGAGTAGCGGACTGGTGGACTGAGAGTCAGGCCGCAACGACTCCTTGAAGTGGACTGTGGCATTCTTACGCATGTGAGCAGTGTGTTACTTAATAGGTAGTGCCTTTCAGTCGATGACATGTAAGTTACCTAGCCCTTGAGGGGTGATGGCCCAGGGAAATGCTGGTCTCTGTGCCACCCTTCTAGGCACTAGTGTTTGTGTCTGCTGTGTCATGATCAGAAAACCATGGCCCTCGCAACCTAGTGTGCGCTTCAAGTTCTCCAACACCTCGTTATCTGGCGGTAGATTCGCTTACGCTCCCGCTGGGTACACAGGTCGTGTGCACGACTGCCCTGTCATCCACGTCTTTGCTTTCCCCGTTGTCGGTTAAAATCCTGGTTAAGTGATTGTTGTGGACCAGGAGGTGTTGGATGGAGCTCCAAGGTGCGGCTTCGGCTGTGTCATCCACCTGCGCCCTCTCCACCCCCGGCATTCTTGACTCTGCCCTAAAATGGGTCCAGGTGGGGAGGAGAAGGGCAACGGTATAGAGAGGGACCCCACTTAACTGCCAGAAGACTGTGGATCGTGTCATATGGGGTTTTATCTTGGCATACATTTGTAGGCTGTCGCAAAAATTACACTGCAACAACGATTACTTCCTACGACCTCACACCTTAACTCAAAACCCATTATTTTGTGAAATTTACTATTTGTTTAGTGTTTAATTACTACCTTCATTCCGGTTGTCGTACAATAGCGTAGGATATGACTTTCTGCATAAATCCAGGCAAGTTCTGTGTTTTCTGTCATTTTTTCAGCGTACAGTCTAACGTGCTGCCCCACCCGTAAAAATCCCTCCACCATAAATCCCGTATGGCACGATCCACAGCCTACTGACAGTTGAGTAGGGTCCTTCTCTATACCGTTGCCAGGAGAAGAGAGTGCGGTAGATGCGGCGTAAGTCCACTATCATTATAAACTAATACTCTCGTAAGTCACCGTACCTGCTTCACCTTGCTGTTGAGCACAGGGTGGACATCGTCAGATGCGACGGCCGAACTATCAAGCGTCCGCAAAAACGAACGCTAACTTGTCGGTCAGTCAGGCACACGGCCTCGTGTCTTCAGTGAGCGGACAAGTGGTGTCCCAAGAGTTCTGTCAGAAAGCACTTTTTTGTACACTAGCTACTCGCGGGTCCAATGCTGATGTCTAGGGACCTCCATTCAGCAAGGCTGGCCGCCCCCAAAGGTTCCCTGGACCGCGGCTGTATGGGCATTTGGCTCGGTTGTTCGATCCCACAGTACAGTGAGTGACCGATCTCATGAAATGTTGGCTGAAATTCTGAAATGCGTTTTCGATTAGGAAGGATTACTTGGTCGCGGTTGTAATACGAATTATCTTAAGGCATACTCTTATAACACTTCGGACTCGGCAGGATGTGGGCTTTTAAATGCACTTCTTTTAAATCTCCTGTAGAAAGCGTACTCGGTAAAAAATGACTACTTAAGTAGCATGCATTTTTCCCATTGATTTTCGATGGTCTTTCAAATTTAAATATATTTTATAGAAACCCTAAACAAAAATATGCTTTCTTTTAGTCAATCAATAGACAATCACGTCTTCTTTATATTTTATGCTTAAAGAAGGAGTATAATTAGGTTTTAAAAAAGTTTCTAATTATGAGACTTTTTAAGACCGCGAAATGTCCATTCACATAGCATCTTACCTGGACGTTTTCCACTGCTCCTCATGAAATGTACAACATAGTCGACATCCAATGCAAAATTTTATAAACTTTATGATATCTCTTTAATGGCATAGAAAAATATATGATTTTCTCTACGCGGAACCTATGCATCTTGCAGAATGAAATTACTCAGCGCTAATGCAACGAATGATTAGGCTCCAAATTATTCGGCAATTGGAAAACTTTTTTAAAACCTAATTATACTCCTTCCTTAAGTATAAAATATAAAGAAGACGTGATTCTCTATTGATTGACTAAAAGAAAGCATATTTTTGTTTAGGGTTTCTATAAAATATATTTAAATTTGCAAGACCATCGAAAATCAATGGGAAAAATGCATGCTACTTAAGTAGTCATTTTTTACCGAGTACGCTTTCTGCAGCAGATTGACAAGAAGTGCATTTAAAAGCCGACATCCTGCCGAGTCCGAAGTGTTATAAGAGTATGCCTTAAGATAATTCGTATTACAACCGCGACCAAGTAATCCTTCCTAATCGAAAACGCATTTCAGAATTTCAGCCAACATTTCATGAGATCGGTCACTCACTGTACATTATGAATCCCCGCTAAATATCCTGCCTCTCACAAACTTATCGACGAGCTTGCGTCTGCATGACAAACATTTCTCCATACTCTTCAACACACTAATCTGTTTGACCCGTTATAGCCGGTCTTGCGCGGCGTAATGCTTAGCACTCACAGATCTTACTAATCTCACATGCTGTTTATCCTGTGTCGATCATCACTAGCCTCTCTGCAACTTAATGCTCATCAACCTCTAATGCTGCATCTCACCAAACGAACCGTAATTCCGTCGCGCTTCCCGAATAACAGATGGCCTGGCTGGCAAGGATTAAGTATATGCGCGGGGTAAGATAGTGCTGACTGTTAATTACCAAATTCGCCAGCGTTTTAAAACTCCTGCTTTACTGGCAGACGGATGTATTTCAGCTAACTGTACTCCGAGTATTTATTTCTACCTGACAGCTTTCCGTACCGGACTTTCTTTTTAAAAAAGGCTTCCTTCTTACTAAAGAATTACGTGTGGGGTGTGCAGAACAATTGACCGGTGTAAGAATTTCAGCAGTGCCGACTATTCAGAGCGGTGCAGGCCAGCGAATATCATCCTGCCGACGAAACCTCCACCGAACAACAACTCTTCGTGACCTTCCCTTACCCCGCGCACATGCTTGACCCTTACCGCCTGGCGAATTGACACCACTGGCAGGTTACATCAAAGAAGCCAGAAACGGCCACCGCGGTGCCCCTGTTTTTATCGATAAAAACTTCCCCGACCACTGACTGCTAGTCGCCACGCGACTATCCGCCTTCTAAGAGAGTTCACCCTGCGACTGTGTTAAGGCGCTAAGGAAACGTGTCCCGTGAGACGTTTGCGAAAAACGGACCACCGATGTGCTGATGTGAGGCAGAGGAGTCGTTGTGTGGTCTCGTGCGTATTCAAGCTGTGGGCATGTGACCCCAATGGCAGAGAATGACAGATCTGTGGCATGTTAGATAGCACGAGGTCTGAGAGCAGGACACAAAAACAGGATGTCTGCCCGTACCCCTAGCAACCAACGGGTTTCCGAGGAAAGCGAGATCCAATATGAGACACCTAATTCAACGAACCAGCACAGTAACACCCACGGGTTAGGCAGCCTGATAATAGCTGTAAATATTAGCCCTACGTACACCACTTCCAACGTCTGTGTTCCTATTCAGAGGGATCGTTTAAGGTAGCATGTTGTGCAGAGGGCGTGGGGGTCAGGTGTGGTTATGTAGCCGCGCCTGAGGCAAATAAACCCCAGCCGCCTGTAATACGGGACCGGTGGTATTGGGGGGGGGGGCGGGTAACGAACAGGCGACGAAGTCAAGTAATTGTATGCAAAAGAAAAGCAATTATGAAGGCGCGCTTGTACTTTGAGTGGTTGAGGAATAGTTACCCTAACCCCTAACTCTAGCCCCTAACCCTAACAGTATTGTGTCCATCAGGTGCGGCTGCGTAACCACATCTTGCCCTGCATTTTCAATGCTTATCTCACTTCAATTTTCCCCGCACCGACGGCCAATCAAGGATATTTACAAGAGTTAAACGCGTTCTCCGACACCGTCTGAATGGACGGGACCAGCCTGCTACTCCGTGCAGTCCGAAAAAATTAGACATCCTGCATGTTCGATGTTTTTAATTTCTACTTAGCGCAAAACACAGAGAGAGAGAGAGAGGATGCGTGCAAAACATGCGCGGTATTTCAAACGAAAAGCAAGTAGTTTACTCGGCATACGACTTCTAGCACAGTTCTCTAGAATTGTCGAGGGCATAGGGCGGAGATAAAAAGTCACCGCACCGCAGACGTGCAGCCCTGACGAGGTGTTTTTATGGGTGCCTTTGTAAGAAGCAGCAGTGAAAGCCTACAAACGGGGACGCGACCGAGGTGGCCTTGGTCCGCTCAATCGCGAACAGGGGGTGAAAGCTACCAACAGCCGCGAGCCTTGGCTGCCCCTTTTTATCCATTCAGCCCCCCTTTAAAGGACGCCGGAATAGAATGACTGACGGTCTTATCGCCAAGGCGACGACCTGCAGACAGGTAGAAGTGTGAAGCACTGCATGTAAACTACAGCATGACTAATATGGCATATTTCGCTCCAAACACCCCCTGTTCTGGCTGGCATAGCAATCGATCGGAGCCACTGTTTGATTAGCAGACTAGCGCATACGAAGCGGTTTGAGCAGGGTTCGGTCTACATAAAGACATATGGGAAGCGTCGATGAGAGTGTATCCAACAGATGTGAGGGTTAAAAAGTCTCAAATGATGGTGAATAATTTATAGAAGAAGGAGTAATAATAGTAACAGTACTGGCTCCAGAAACGATGATGCTAATACCACAGGTAACCGTATTGATTGCATTTAATGCGGACAATGACAGGCTAGCGTACACAACTTGCGTATTGCGCGTAAGACTGGCTGAAGCTCAGAACAGCTAATGATATGTAAGCAGGCAAAGGTCATACTGTCTCCTCCTTCCTATGCTCCGGTGGACGCTTCGAAGAAAACCTTTTTGAAGAAACATCACTCTAAATCCATAGCGGTAGGTTAGCTGCTTCTGGCAGAGTACAGAGCTAGTTATTGTGTAGAGCTGTCAAATAACGCTGTAATTCGGCTAGCAAGCAGTCTTTTTATTCGTCAGAAATCCTGCTTCTAAGAAGAAATGCAAGATGAAAGAGGCAAAACATCTCGGCTGTGTCTTCGGTCTTCTGTGAAAGATTCCTCCCTTCCTAGCAATTTTACAGGGAAGCAACAAAACCAGTACAAATTACAGATTACTAAGTCATTATGTCGTCTGGGCTGACAGCAATTGAAGTTGATGTATCACTGCTCAGTTCTGGCAGGTAATTCCATACGGTGGATGATTCCGGTCATCTTTAAAGAGGTGCACTGGAGAACCTCCAGGAGTCTTGGTTTTGTGCCTCTGGTACAATTCGTAACTGTGGATCCGACAGAGCCTAGGGCGATTGCTGCATCTTCGGCCGGACAATGTAGCGCCTCGACGTCCTGTCATTGGAGCAAGTTCCAAGTGAAGTCAAATCAGATCTTTAACAAGCTAGTCTCTCCTTGTACTACTGCGTCAACTGTTTCCGTTTAATGCAACATGTCTGAACTATATCCTACAGATCGAGAGTGGTTTCTCTGCTTCGCAGGGGAAATAAACCATCCTCGGAGGATTAAAGCACTCCCAGGCCTCTGCTGGTACATCTGCATTCTATCTTCCTTTTACCCTTGATTTTTCTACCTATCCCATATTTGAAATTTTCTGTAACATATTCTTTACTACTACGAAATCACTGGAAGCGGTTTTTGTATCTCGCCTCGTAGTAGTAAAGTGCAGTAGCCATACTGATTCATCCTGGACCCTGAGGCCAGCCCGAAAAGTGAAACTGTAGTCCTTCGATTAGCAGCATGCTGTAAGTGGACAAGAGACAACGACAGTAGAGATCCAACTCTGTAACTTCGGTCCACTTGTTACTGCTAGTATTTCCATCCCGCCGGCTATTTGCTCCACGGTCTCGTTGATTAAGGGGTTTGACAAAAGTTACTTGTCCCACTTATTTGCCATGTCCCAAACAGCTCTCCGACATCTCAGTTGTAGAATGTGAACTTCACGAAAGACGAAAGCGGACCTGGAGATTGCTCAGTTCTCCGCCACCTGCCTCAACTTTGGCCAGCACTATCAACGACCCTGCACTCTCTTCCCGCGTGCTTTAACTTGGTCGGACCTGTGTTCGTTGTGGAAAGTTCTTCTCAGAACTCTTGTTCTATCGGCTTTTGATTTTCTATTATTTTGCTGTGCTTAGTACAGTGGTCTTTGGGCGGCTGGCTGTTAGTCGCGGAAAGGCGCCGGAGTTTTTTTGAGAATGATAGTCAAAAATTGTCAGAATCAAAATTTCCACATCAGCCATCCGCTAGTCCACAGTTGAAACAATGTGTTAGTCCTCTGTAGGAGAAGGAAGAGCTCCGTAGAGAGAGGTGGAGGACGAAATGGTCAAATGGGACTATAAAGATGACCTTCACTGCCTCAGCAAATGGATGATGGCCTTTTGTGAAAGCATTGAAAGCCGACTTTGTCCAGGGCGGGGATGCTGTTGGATTTATGTGGTACATGTACTTCGCACGCAGACGGTGACCCCCTCACCAAGCTCTCATCAATTTGCCCGTATAGTTGTCGGCCTTGGCCAGTACTGTTCAGTCGATAGAGCGCCCAACGAGACATAGTAGACATTTCGTGACCTCGTACTTCACTGCTCACGGTCAGTGCGCGTTCATAAGATTAGCGGGTCGATAAGAAGACGGCTTACGACGGCCGAATGTTAAAGGTAAATAAAAACGGACAATATTAAGTACACATGCGGGCGGGAAAGGTGCGAGAAGAGGTGGGGACTGAGTCGTGTAGTAGGGAGGGGGAGGGGGCAAGTTCTGGCTGCGGCGAAACTAAGTCAAATGCGACTACGGCCGCATAACATGGGGCATTAGTCGGTTGTGCGGAGGGAGGGGGGGTAGGGAGCGGGAGAGGAGGTGGAATAGGCTTATTTCTCCCAAGGTCTCTTACCGCGACAGTGCACTGTGAATCACATGACCCAACTGTTTTCAGAGCTCTGGTTTTCACCACCGTATTGCCGCGGCTTCTGCTTACCACGTCGCCCAGCCGCCACCCCAAATAGAGCCTTAAATGCAGCCGTTAGGTCTTACGATCACCGCGACTGACGGTTTTCACTGTGTGCTTCCGCCAGCAGGCTGAGAGGGCAGAGACGGTGACTTGCACATGAATTAGTTTAAAGTGATAACAGACTTACGTTGCACCTAACGCATTCGCCCTCCTTCCCCCATCTGGGTCCGGTGTCAAGATAGAGGTCAGGAAGACCGAAGGCGTAGGAGTGGGCAAGTGGCTGGCGTGGCGTAGATCTGCACCTAGGCGTACCAAGACGTGAGCCTGCACTTGGGCGCGCCAGCAAATGGCGTCGCCACCTGGGTCGGCGTTCACCAGCCGTTTCGTAAGTGAACAATTGGGTGCCTTAGTTTTCGCTTTCAGAAGAGGCTATAACGAAAGTTGGAGTGCGGAAACGATCGGACGGGTGTGTAGTTGGACAGATAGCAGATACACGAAGCGCCTGTCCCATGCTTCTCATCACAGACAGCTCTGGCAACTTTACTTGCTGTTTCGGAGGACGAGACTGTATTGCCGAAACGACTTTTAATCGCCCACTTGGAAACGTCGCTAGAAACAGGTTGCATACCTGCGAAGATGGTTGCGCTTAGTGTGACAATTACTCCATTGCCCGCAGACCAGCTACTAATTTTCGTAACTTTATCATATGCGTTGGTTATTGGTGAGGCGAGTGTTCCGCAATTTGGTTCACAATCACCGTTACATGGACGCAGCTTTCGCTCGCGCGTACCGCGGGCTGCTTGCCCACTCTGTCCAGATAACTCCCCAGCACCGATTTGGCAGAGGCCTGTTAACAGACTGGGGGTCGGAAAAGCGGAAGTCATGCAGCTGGCGGCTGATGCGGTTGTCCCTTCTTTTGAACATTTCGGTCACATCGAACTCGAAGGTGTAGCTGGGTCCAACCAAATGGGTCGCAACTTGGGAGCTGATCTCATCCCGCTTCGTCGCTGTTGCGTGTTCGGTCGTCCGCGTCCAGAGTGGTCCTCCAGTTTCCCTAACGTAATTGCTGTTGCCATTTATATCTAAGTTGAATAGGGTTTGTGCATATGCAAGCACAGAAGGGCATCAGTATTGTGCTTTATCCTGCTTGTCACGTATCCCAATTGTTTCGGGTATAGCGCCGTCGATATGACAGGAGTTCGCCGTCTTGTTATGTGAACTCTGTTCGATAAATAACTGATGCGGGTTAAAACCCCCTGTACAGGGAGGCGTAGGGCTGAGTTGTCACTGGTGGATGATGTTTAGCATGTCAGAGATGGTCATTCCAATTCTGCTGTCTTTGACGGTCTGGTCCCTCCATCATTTATTGCTAGTTTGCTGAATTTGACCTCCAGCTCCAAGGCACCGTAGAATCTTTCATATTTCGTCCTGATATCAGGATAGATCGGTTCACATCATTCTCTGTCTCGGCCAATGATCGGCTGGCTTTAGTTCAAACCTCGGGTGTGCCAATGCGTTCTAATGGGGCAATACTGGGTGACAGGAAATAAGGAACTAGAAACGGCTATTGCAAACTCCCTGTCTTGTTTTCTAATATCGTTAAACATTCCAAATATTTTATAATCGTTGGAATGCCTCTTACTCCTCACAGTAAAACGAATAAGCTTCGGAACACTTCGGAACACGAGAAAAGGGGGGACTCGTTTGCAAAAACGCGCACTTCAGACGACTCTTGTCCGCAAACGTCAAATCCTGGGAGACGGACGCTGCCGACAAGGAGACTATCAGACACAATGATTTTCACCTAGTGCCGCATGAAAAAAACAAACATCATGCAGGCATTAAGAAACAACCCAAAGCGCGCATTGTTTAAGGGCGTTGTTTTATACAGACAGAAAGCCGCAGGAAGAATATCAAAAAAGAGAGGGGAATCATGGCGCGAGCGATAATATGAGACTGCGTCATGTCCAAATGCATTGTTTACCGGTCTAAGGGAATTTTGTCGTCTAGATGGAAGCTTAATTAATGAGAATAGTGGTTCAGGGAATACTACGCATCCTGGACATAATACCAAGTCGAAGTCTGGCCAGAGGCCATGCCAAAATTTAAAATAGAGAAATCAAAAGAAAGCGTACCCTAGGGATCATACTTGTTTCGGCACCTTTGCAAAGCACCAAGACGGGCGCGTTGGGGTCGAAGTCTGTACTTTCGTCGTCAGTATTCGGAACAGGCTGAATCACGACGGACATGCACTTGCGATCGGAGTCGAAGTCGAGCACGTCAAGCAGGCGATAGCGCAATGCAGTTCTGTTCTGAACCGTGACAACCTGAAACAAAAGAGGCAACAGTAGAGGTCCGGCGAAAGCATAAACACCAGTAGATATGTTGTTCAATCCCCCAATGACCGACATAATGATAATTAACAGTAAGGGGATTTGGCAGATTTAAACAATTCCATTAACAGTGTTAGTGGGCGCTCACCGATCGTTCTTACGGACTCGTTCCGTTGTGCATCACGGACTTTCTCTCGGGCCAAACCAGCAGCGGCGCATGATATAGGCAGTGTGGCATTACCGACAAAGACAAGAGAGACTGGAATGGCCATTTCTGGCTTATTGGCCGTCGTCAGCCGGTCATACCCAAGCTCCAAGTATGGATCACCCGAGGCTCGGACTCGCGACCTGTTAGTTAGAAGTCCACGCCTCTAACCACTGGGCCACGAGCCCGTTGCCCTGTCCCTTTTCGATCGGGAATATACAATGGTAGAGGGGCACTCACCGATCGTTCTTACGGAACTCACTCGTTCCGTTGTGCCTTACGGGCTTTCTCTCGAGCCCAACCAGCAGGCAGACAGCGGCGCATAATATAGGCAGTATGGTACTACCGACAAAGACAAGGGGCACTGGAATGGCCATTTCTGGCTTATAAACCGTCGTCAGCCAGCTGTCGTCATGACTGGCTGACGACGGCTAATAAGCCAGAAACGGCCATTCCAGTCTCCCTTGTCTTGGTCGGTAGTACCATACTAATTCCATTAACTCTGTTTTAAAAATTTTGACGGCGTCAGTGGGAGTCGGACCCATGACAGCAAGAGACAGAGGTTGAGTACGGCCAAGGCTTTAACCACTTGAGTCATAAGGCCCAACGGAGAGCCCTGAATTTATTCACAATTGGGCTAAACTACCTGCGCAATCTGCTGCGACGTATGGGGTCCACAAATTAGGATTTGGTGAGCTGACTGCCCCGGAGTCTCGACGGGAACCTCGTAGCTCAGGTGGTTAGAGCATTGGTTGTACTGAGGCCGTGTCTTTGTTTTCGTGGGTTCAAATCTCATCGAGATTGCCCAGGTTCTTACAACTGTGCCAGCGAAATTCACGGATAGCAAAAAGTGATTCAGGGGAAAACCGTTCTAAAGTGAGGTAACTTTCTTCACTGAAGAGAACCCGCGTGAGGTTACGATGCGAGCAGACACATTTTAGACTTGTCAATGACTTACTAGTAGTGGTATAACTTCAAGCCAGATCACATGTTTAGTAATTTGGTGACGAAGTACTTCCGCCTTTACCGAGGGAGTTTCCGTCTTTTAGCGAACCATTTTTATGATGAAAGTTACTCTGTATGCCACCTTGCTATTCCTGTAAAGCTTCTTTGTTCACTCCTACATTTCTGTGAGAAAAAAATTAACATCTCCTGAAGTTCATGATTTTGCTGCTGTTTTTTTTTCGTGGGAAGTTCCCAGGCCCCTACCACTGCGCTGTTTCAGTAAACTCTAGCGCTTAATCTAATTGGTTTCACTCTCAGCCTACTTCCGTTTCCAAAACTTCAGCGCGTAATCAGGTATATGTATGCACACTAAGCTTCGAGTAACACCGCCTGTCGTATTCAATATCAATTCCCTAAGCAGCAGCTAAAAGAAGAGCATATGCACTCTAATTGGGGGAAGTTAAATCTTCTTCAGAACACTCTTGTAAATAAAAATGGAGCCACAAAAGGAAGGTTATGTGTTAATGATAAAAAGCAATCTTTTCGGATTAACTACGGTGTCGATTAAGTACTTTCATACCATGGATTGGTGCGGCAGGTACAGCATAAACTCCGTGCAAGTGAGAGTACAAGGTATAAATGCACATGAACACAAAAAGAGTCAATTTTTCACAATTATAATGCTAAAAAGGAAACATTTGAGACATTGATGACGGCCAGATCTCTAAACTTAAACCAGCCAACATTAAATAGGTTATTCTCTTTGGAAAGAGGTTAGACGGTCAGCTTTTTGATTCACGCAGATGTCCCTTTTTTCTTCTAATTCTGATCAGCAACCGTTCGCTCACTGATGCGACCCCTAACCCCAAACTTATCTATGGATAGAGAGTAGTTTTAATTCTTGTCTCTTCAGAATTTAACACAGATTAAGGAGCTGCATGTACTCGTTAAGGAACAAGTTTTAGATCGCGGGACGTCTGTTTTATGTCTACAGGACCACACACACACGCGCACACATGATGGGCTGACTCATGAGGTGTCGGCTTTGTTTGGTACTCGTCAAGCTACTTCTGGTGGTTATTGGCGCTCCAGATTCTCTTGTCCCAGCCGCACAAGTAAATTCGGCGTCTGGAAAACAATTGCCTGCTTTTATGACTTCTTCAAATATTTTACATCGAAGTAGAAATTCGGGACGCCCCCGAATAGGCCGGGCGTCAACTCCCCGTCATCTTAGAGCCGCCAAGTAAAGATGAAGTGGCAGTTGCCGATGAGAGCGAATGCTCGTCTCCAGTGCGTTGTTATGTGCCGCACTATCAAAAAAGGCATAGACGTTGTACATCACAGCATGGCTGGCTGACCGTGACCTTTGCTCCTTCGACGAATCGGCTCGGCTCACGTTGAGGTCAGAACTCTCAGAGATACCACATATGCGTTGGCACTTTTGGCAGTGTAGTGCACTTCGTCCTGCTGAAGGACTATGTCAGAGGAAAAGAACGTGGCATCTGGCTTAGACCTGACAGATGGGGAAACCTGCTGGAGACCTGCTCATTCAGCCCTCTAAGTAAAAATACCTAAGGCCTGGAAACGGAGTGAAGATAAGTCGGTGAACTTAGTAGAGAGAAGGCCTTGGCTCCAGCGGTTTGACATAAATTAGAGGCCAGTGTACTGGACCAGTATTAAGCTTGTTGGGCCGAAAGGTCGTCAACACAGCTGGGCGTTACGTTCCGTGGCATCAGAGCGAAGCAAAATGGCAAAATATGAGGGCCAAGAACATATTTTAGCGAATGTGGCATTTATAGAATGGGGTTTGCTGTGCTACTGGGTTGAACTGTTGTTTTACTAAACCGGACCGCTACCAAAGATTGAGCTGTCGCGGCATCACATGCCAGCTGTGCAAATTATTAGATATTACTTGTCTCTACTATGACAACTTGCCGAGATGCAATGACAACCTCGGACACGTTCATCGCAATAATTATTGCAACGCGTAATACAAAAAACGATCACCCTTTCTGTTCGCCTCAACAATTAGAGCAGGGACAGTTTACCTGTAAAGACAGTTAGTGAGGGTCCCGAAAGCAACTCAGAAATCTATTTTATTCTCGAAAAGATACTTCAAATCATTTAGTATAGACCTCAAAAATGAGAATAGCGGAACAAATGCTCTAAAGTGAATCTATTCCCTGCATTTTGGAGGCCGACCGAGTAACCTAAGTAATTAAATGTCGAGTCATAACAGCAAGACAACAGAGACACGAAATCACAGCACAGAACCCAGAAACGATAGGGGGGCACCCACTTGTACGTACTAAGAGTAAAATAGGCGGTGGAAAGTGTACAATGCAGTTCTGGCTGCCAACAACGAATGGCGACAGTCCTGAATTTTCCCGCTGTCTGGTCTACACGGGCGGCCTGTTTTATGGTGCTTAGGACAAGAGGTGGCAAGCGACCAGTCTAATCCTGCCTTAGGCACCGCCCTTTACCTACTGTGTGAACGGGAAGCCACCGTTTTGTTTACTTTAGTCGCCACGACAACAGCTGCTCGTTCAGCACTCGTCCACTTTCAAGCAATGTGCCACCTCTTCCCCGTGCTAAGCGCTTCCACTGAACCTGATGCTAGGTAAAGACAGTTTGTCGTCCACCCCCCAAAAAGACTACCAGAGTTCGTCTCTTGGGGTGGAGTGAGTTGGCACTGGCATGGTGGGGAAGGATGCGAATGAGTGTGCGGGATTCGAAGCGGTGTGTTATTGTTAAAGACGGGCACAAGGCATGAAACAAGGAGCAAGTGAAGGCACCTACCAAAAAGCCAGTCTTGTCAACGCCGTGGTATACCACGCCGAAGTCACGACAGCTCTCAACAAAGGCCTTCTCATCAGGCGAAGATGCCTGCAAAAATATAATTTTGGAAAGAAGGATTAAAATAACCTGTAACTGTGGGTTGGCAGATGGGAAGACTTAAGGATTGCAATGATGTTTTACAAAAAAACAAGGAAGTCCATGTAACGAGAATTTAAGGTAGTTTGTCGTTTACTATGAAAGAACGGAATATTACCTGTGGTGGCCAATGTACAATTTAGCGTTCGGGAAACCGAAATTCTTAGACCCAAAATCAATTAACAGTCTGGGCGTTATCGTTTTCTTATTTGCCGATAGATGACACGCTTAAAATAGACGTCGACAAGTTGCTAAAATGGCTTGAAAGTAGACAAGCAGATGTTCATGAGTTCCAAGTTATTAACTTAAGCACATCAGATGGTTAATGTGAAGATCCGGGGCCGGCTTTTGTTCTCGACACGGAATTTGCGGAATTAAAGGGGCATACTTGTTCTCTTAAGGACAAGTGAACACAGACAGGTGACATCAAATCAGTATGGTTGCGAACAAATGTCTTTCTTCGTTTCGCTTCAGTAGAGGCGTAGTGGATAGTTAACAGCTTCTTAGACGCAGACGGCATCACATAAGCACAACCGGCAGGCGTCATGAAGGGCGGGATGCCGCACAAACGACTGGTATTTGTTTCTTACAATGCGTGGCGATCAAAAGGGGTAATGACTGCCAGTGCTGTACTTCAGTGCGTTGAAGATAAGTTTACTGCAAATCAAAACTGATAAGATTTAAATAGCACTTTCCAAAATAGCATTTTCCCGAAGTCAGCTGACACTCGTTTAACTTAAGAATCTGCCCCCTTGAAGACAAGGTTACGAGTGTAAAGGTAGGCAATAGGTGTAAAGTGTAAGCAGTCCATAAGCGCAAGCGCGGTCTGTCCGCTACAATAGTTGGACTACTTTGATTTTTTTGTTAGGCCACCATACTTCGAAAGTTTAGTGAAAAACTAATACTAAGTTTGAGCCTCTCCATGCGCCGCATGTAATATATATTGTAAATGAGAAAACATCAGCAGTGTGTCCTATCGGAGGGCTAAATTACTTGTAAATAGATGAAAACGCACTTGATAATCATATTCGTCACTATTGATAGTGTCCCCCCGACGGATGCTGTTAAAAGCGGCTGCGGCCGCTTGCATTGCGGAGGCACGGCGAAACACGCTAGCCGCCCTCTTCGGTGCGACCTTCTTTCGCATATCAAGATGTATCCGAAGCTTTTTCTTCTTCTTTTTCTTCGGTTTGATATCAGTGTCAAACTTATCCACGTCACGTTCTACTCGGACGGTGTGGCATAGTGCGAGGTGCAGGAATAGATTGACTGCCGTCATCGGCATGTCGCTGCTTGCTATGCCCGCTGCTGAGATCCTTGGCGACTGCAAATCTTCTACGGCTGTACTTCCAGTGCTGGGTGCGAGGGGAAAAATGTAGCGATCTTTTGCTAAAAATGCTCCGCTGGCAACAGCGAACCTTTGAAATATCATTGTATTTTCTGTAAGGGTGCCGGTTTTGTCAGAAAATAAGTACTGCACCTACAAAACATTTGAAACACAGAAAAGGCAAATTATTAAGTGTAGGCCGAGAGTTTGACAGTATTATGTGACCAACATAGCATTTTTTCGGTGTGGTAAAGCAAAATAAATATGAAGTTGGACTTTATCAAGTTATGTTACACCACTTATTCAAGCATCGAAAATCATTTATCACGGCTTTAACTGATAAAGACACAACCTATTCAACGTTTCCTCCGAGGTTCGCATTAAAGATTGCGCTCTCGTATCCATAACCATAAACCAGTGCAAAGTAGCCCCGACAGTTTCAGCGATATACTTTCAACCTTTAGGGACGTATCAGGGGGAAAAGCAGAAAATTCGAAAAATACGATCCTTTAAGTGAGCAAATATCTATGGTCAAACGTACATTGATGTGCGAAAACGACGTATGCTTAGAACTATAAACAACTCCAATTCGGGAAGAAATTAATAAAGGTTAGTATATGAGTGATTAAAAATGGGATACACTATTTTCTGGAGAATGAGAGGACGACAAACAACGTTTTAGTAAAGATATTGTATGTATGAAAATTGGTGTTTGCAGTAGCACAACGAGTGGCATATAGGTGTTGCGGAAGATAAAGGTATTGGTAGGAGGGAGTGATTTATCTCTAGCAAACAGATCGATTTAAAAGAAAGTGAAGTATAATCTGTCGTGGCTAGGCCAGATGCGCTTGCAAATAATTGAAAATAATTGTTAAGGTAGACAGAATTTGTTGAGGAATACGGTCCTAAACATTGACAAATATTATTCTAGCCTTTGAAACGTCAGTTTATGAAAGGAATAATTATTGGACACAAAAATATTGAAG